AAAAAAAAAAAAAAAAAAAAAAAACGATCGAAGACGCCATGCGCTAGATGCATGCTCGTCGTTTCGTCACTTTATATTCCGTCAATCAATCGCAATGTGTGCCTAGCCGATTGATAACGAAAGAAAAATAACTTGGATACAAGTTGGATAAGTTGTGTTCGTTCCGCATTCGCGATTCCGAAACTCGGGAAACGCGACGACAAATTGATTCGTTCTCTCTAGTAAATGCGATCGTACGGCGCGTAGAAAAGTGCGAATTAAGCAACTACAAACTAACGCTTGAGGAGCTACAAATGTACCCGTTGTCGTAAATTAACCGTCTAGTATCGCGATCGTAAACGTCTGTTGTTACGTCCTGTATTTATAACCTGCAATCGCGAGAGCACAAAAGTTCGCCGACAAATTGGATGATCATGCGTTGGACTTCGTTTCTACTGTGCCGAGTTTTCGCGCCGCTGCTAACGATCTCGGGACGATAACGTAAGGGGTCATGTTTGAAGCTAAACCGAAGAATGTACGGCGTTAGCGGATCGAATACGAGTCGTTTCGAAAAGAATTATTATCAAAAACCAAGGTTCAAGATCAATTTTCACTCGAATCGAGGGATATAACGTTTATTTGCGTGTTTTTTAACCAACCAACCAACCAACCATCTCTGTATTTATTCTTTGCGCAATTCCTCGTTCGAGGACGTTTCGCAAACTCGTTATCCCTATTCGAGATATGCTCGATTCGTGAAAACAATTTTTAAGGAAAATCGATTTCTCTCGTCTTCTTTGAGCGATATCTATAGTAATTTTTCATCGTGACTCGAACGCGAGATGCCGGATATTGCGATGCCCGATCTAATTATAATTTTTACGCGAATACAATGGATCGTACAATGATAGAAAAACAGTATTATTGTTATTGTTATGTAAGAAATCTTTCGAAATTGATTTATGCGAAATCGTAGAGACTTTGTTGATCGATTGTTAAGATTGCCACACAATAAATACGTTATGCGCTCCCTCCGTTTCCCTGTAAAATTCCACGCTTTCCTTGTCGATGCCAACAACGGCCATACGAAAGATAACGTTCCATTGACGATGGAATTTTCCAATTTACACCGTTTCCATGTCGCGTTTACACCCCTTTTAGGTTTATCCTCCCTTCTTCGAAACACGCTTGCTTTCGTGATACGAACCCTATACTCACGGGTATAAATTGAGCCGTTCTTTGCCCACGATATTCCTCGCTTTGCGTCACATCGAAGGTTAGCTTCTTATTCGTCTTTGAATTTACCGCTGACGACACCAGTTCTGGAATTCGCGATTTATGAAACTTTTTTATTTATAAATTTCTATCGAAATCGTAAACAATTTTACACAATTCGAGTGTGTAATCATATTTTTCGAAGATACGAGAAGAAAATCGAAAGAATTCTAAAATAGATCGGGAAAAATTATCGATTAATTGAATCTGTATCTTCGTTCGAAGGGCACGAGTTCATTTGAGAGTAAAATTCTTGCGAATAGTTCTCGATAGAACTATTTCTCGATAATGAATATCGCATTGTAATTGTCCAACGATAATTTTCACTCTCAATTTCCAATTTGAGAAAAATATTCTCGAGAATTTTACTCTCGAATGTATTCGCACTCAAAGAAATATCGTTAACAAGATCAAACAGAATAACAAACATTTAGTGAATTTTGTTCTATTTGTATTTGGTAAAATACGTTTAATCAAATCGATCGAATGCGTATCAGAAATGATTTCGAAATAGAATCGAATCTTATAAACGACAAAATAATCAGATCTAGTTTTGTTGTTTGAGGAAAAACGTATCGCAGCCTTTCACATTGTAGAGAATATTCGGACAAAATTTAGTCCTCAAACGAAAGATCGTGAAGAATGGAAAATTCCGTGTAAGCGAACAGAGGTCCTTAATCTTATTTCTTTGAATAACGAAATTTCTCTTTTAACGGAATACTAACTACAATATGGACAAAAGTTTCCTTGTTTTTTGTCTTTAAAACTGGTATAGTAGACAAAGATAGCTAACAGTTGAATATTATTTGAAGTACGATTTACGATGATTATTAATTTACATGTAAAAATCATATTTCAAAATTTAGAAATAAATTCGATCTATTATACAGCGCTACACGTAACTTATTCCTTTATTTAAGGTCAACTTAAGGTTAACTTAGTTCATCAAATGTCCCCGAGTGCTATAGCAAGTTACATTCGCTTAATGTAATCGATCGATATTCGGTTTACTCCGCGGCATTGCTCGTGATCGCCTTGAAATCACGAAATAACAATCTTCGATCAAACTTTGTCATTGCCACACAATTTCGCTAATATTACTCCATAGTAATGTCTTTCGAAACAATAACGATCGTTAGAAACAGCCTACGTAGGCGCCTCGCCCTTTATGCTATACACATGCTATCATAAAAACCGGTGTCGTGCTTTGTTATTCCCCTATTCCAAGATTAAAGACAAAACGTGGCAAAGCAAAAAAAAAAATAATCAAATGGAAGGCGTGCATTTACACACGATGAAGAGGAATAGCAATCTTAAAGTATGGCAATGTCCTTTTGAAATGCGTCCGCACGTGTTGAGTAGTCGACAAGCAAGACTTTTCAGCCGAAAGGCCATTTCGAAGGCCATGTTTGAAACTTAGCAGAAACGAGATAAAATATGCTAACCGATCGCACAGTTGCCACTTCCGATTACTTCGTTTGCTGCACGAACTGCCAGACGCAGTCGATAATTAGAAAACGATAATCAAACGCGACAATATAGAGCACCGATCGATCTGCGGATGAACGTGCAGAGTTCGAAGTGGAAGAAGCGAGATATGAATGAAACTAATTGGATTTTCAGTCCAAGTTCCGCGGGAAAATGATGCAATTCAACATTTATCTTTTTCTACTTTAATGTTATTTTTGCTAATCGTTTCGATTTAGAAAACAATATTTAACGAAACATCTTTTGAAAACTTAATCCCAACCAAAATCGTTCACAGTTTTCGATCCGTCGCTGAAAATGTGATTTCAATTGGAAAATAATCATTTCGATATATGGATATAACATTCATTCCTAGATTTCAACGAGAAATATCTAAATAATATCGTTTTTGTCTCTCACACAGTTTTTAACATGAAAAAAAGGAGCGAATTTATAAATGACCAGATATAGCAAGAATATGATACGAAGTGAACAATGGTATATTACGGTATATGGAAAATTTCCAAGCGAACTTAAATTTCTGACGACGCAACGAAAAGCAATAAAATTTTATTCGTAATGAATAAAATATCGTGTGTACATATGTACGTATACCAACAACGTGCAATACGATGACACGTAAAAATCCCGATCCAATATATATTTTTGCAATGTAACTTTTAACATACGTGCACGCATTTGCTTAAATCAGATGTTCTTCGTATAACGTCTTACAACGCTGAAATTTTTCCATTCCGTCGGCACGATTCCGCTGGCATTTCGTTCAATTCCGGGGATACGATGTTTCGCAGAGTTGCGTCCCACTGCGCAACATACTATTGAGATCCACGCTCGAAACGATCGTTAAGGTTGGAAAAGTTTGCAAAATATTTGCGACGAAAGTTGTTTATCGAGCACAAACGCACACGCAAACACCCACCAATAAGCTTGTCGTAAACACAAACTGAAGAAAAAGACGTGGACAATACGGACCGATCACGTATCTTCTACCTACCGACGCATGCAAACCGACATTTTGAGGTTATGTTCGCCTTTTCAAGCTTTCGGCAACAGATGTTCTCGATTCGGTTTCCCGTCTCACGATCTTCTAAATGACTGTCGCGTCGATGTCATACGAAACCTGGTGCGGAAAAAAAATTTAAACTGTCACGCCGCTTACGTGAAGTAAATTATAACGTACGAACGCGCGATCGGGCAACTAGCTTTCGCAAAAAAAAGTTTTATAGAATGAACACACAGCGATTGGCCGACGTTCACAAAGAGAAAACTTTAATTTGTTTATATTTTCCTCGTATCGAACGTATGTTCGTGAGATATACACGTATGTAAAACGATAGATGATGTTATAAATCTTTCGAACGAGAATGAAGCGAATACGATACACGAATCATGATATCTTCGACAACCTGTCAACCACAAAATCATCCGAAAAAATTTTGAAATGTGTCATTTTACAGATCGGAGTGAGAGAGATGGAAACACACGAGATCGGCGTGTCAAAAAGAAAGAACGAAGGAAGGAAAACGAAACGAGTCATCGACAATGTTAATGTAATAGAAAAAGAAAACGTACCTCTCGCTTCTTGGCCAGTGTCTCTCTGTTCAGGGACGGGCCCGACGATCACGTAGCAGCATGTTCCGTTTATCCCCGGGTTGTCTTTTCCCCGTCTGGTTTGTCGGCCTCTCGTTAGCGACACACAGCCATCTTGCGTAGTGCCTGGCCTGGCTCGGTCGCTTTCGGTACGATGGCCTCCGTGAGGGCGACAAAGAGGATAGTCGCGGTGAATAGAGGGGTTCGAGAGAAAGAGGGAATGAGACGTAACAGGAGAGAGAGCGAGAACCACGGCCCCGCCGAAGTGCGTGTCCCACCAATACACGCGCGCATATACACCGAAGTAGCACCAGCAACGCCACACCGCCGCCACCACCACCGCCACGACCACCACACCACCAGCACCACTACTACCAACACCGCCACTGCCACCGACGTGGAGGCACTGCACCTCTCTCACAGTTTTCGCCACTTTTTCGCACGGCCCTCGCCCACCTCCGTCACATACATATTCCGTGGAGCAGCCAGCGTTTGCGCGCACCTTCGTTTCACTCAATGGACGTTTCCGGGACAGGGTAAATGCGATGTTATTTACCCGTTTCGCGATGTCTTCCGTCGATTCGAGCGATCATACCTCCTCTTCGTTTCGTTCTGTTGTTAGCGCTGCACCACCGCCGCCGCCGTGGACGCTGCTGCTGCTGCTCCCGTTGCCGCTAATCCACTACTGACTGCCCGTACCCGTACCTGTCGTTCCAACACGCACGACCACGATCGGGGGATCGCTCGGGCTCGACTGCCGCACGATGGCCCTACTTCGGCCATCTTCGGTTCGCTTCGGCGATTTACGCTCACTTTCACAGGGACGACGATATTGTGGGCGCATCAAGCACCCCGTCCTCGTTTCCTCTCGAATGACTCATGTGCCACACTGACGTATACACATTTTAACAGTTGTTGCTTTAAGAAACCATCACGGCCTCTTTATCGTATGAATCTGCAGAACATATGGACATTGCCACATGAAAATGTTATAGAATTAAAAGTTATTCGCAATAAGCCTCGCTAGTTTGAACAGCATAAACATTGAATTTTCCACAAATGTTTTATATCTTTTCAAAAACATATGCTTTTCGTTACTACTCTAATATCAATTTTTTTCCGCATTTGAGCGGAATCATAATGACGTCGATGGATGACGCGAATCGCTTTTCCAATACGATCAATTTATGAAATTTTATTTTGCTTTATGAGCAATTTTATTTAGAATCATGATATACATAACGCATAATGAAAAATATATGCGTAACGTTCATTTTATCCGTTAATTTTGTAATGCTAAATTACAACGAAATAAACGTTTGTTTCGTGCAATCGTTTTCTTCATCGATTTCTCGTTTTACCATGCGCCACGATACGCCGGTTTCCGACAAAAAAAAGAAAAGACAACAATATACGGGTAATCGAACCAGCGATTTGCAACCATGGTAGTGAGACAACGGAAACAAGTAAAATTCCGACCGATCTAAGCACTTTCACGGTCGTGCCACCGTCGTCGCCAACCGAGACATTCGCGCTCGTGTCTTGTGATTAATTCACAATCTCATGAAACAATAATAAACAAGAGATCGAAAATTTCCTATTTTTTCAACTTCATACAATCAACATTTTTATGAAAATATCGAATAAAAACGTGTTAATAAAGAAAACAATATTTCATCGAGGATATTTTATTTGTTGAATTCGTTTAGAATTTGAACTTTTTAGAAAGGGATTCACTATGCATACCATTCAAAACCATTTAATGTGCATTAGTTCAAAAAAACAAGAGAAACTTGAGGAATCGCGTTTACGTTCGAAAATTTAATATCTTTATGATTATTTTATATGAATAACGGAGTATTAATAATGCGATGACGGTCTTTTTGTAAATTACAAAAATAACCTCTCCACATATTATTACCGATCCATTCATATCCGAAAACTATGCCTATTTCTTGAAACATTCTCATTGTCGTATAAAGAGATCGATATTTCGACGATCGTCAACGTATCTTGAATGTTTGCGAAAGTTGGGCGATAACGCAATTAGAAATTTCGGTCTCTAGATTAGAAGATAATCTGTTTGCGTGCGAGCCAAGTGAAACCGGATCTTTCTGCGTCAATCCCTCCCCCCCCTCCCAGTCTAAAGATACAGTCGATCTTTTTCTTGCATAGTACGAAACGCGAGCTGAGAATCGCGTGAAAAACATGTAGCGATCGATAATTATTATCGGAGGAGCGAAAAGTTGTATCGTGAATCAGTCGCATCGTGAGAAAATTTCGAAAGCAAACGAGACGAATCCGTGATCGGAACGCGGCAATGTGAAACGTCACGATCCCATTAGAGACCGGCCTGTTCTAATCGCGTATCTGGCGATGCGTGACGTCACTGGCCATTAAAGGACAGCGGTTCTCGGGCGGGACTCTGAATTTTCCAATCCGGACGTGAAAATCCGACGGGTCTATAATATATCCGCTGGAGGCGCAACGTCGTTCAGATCTCTGAGCGAATTGGGTCCACGGCACCGACCCAGAGAGGAGGGTGCAATAAAAGAGTCAGACCGTACGACGGTACGCCCCTCCCTCGATCCCACTTCGCCACATCGTGCTGCACCCCACTCCGCTTCTGCACCCTACTTTAAAAATCCCTCAACGGTTTCACGGCAAGTGCCTTCGAAAATGGACAAAGAGAAAGAGAGGGAGCCTACGGGCACCCGTTTTTCGTACGAAAATTCACGCGCTCCTGTCTGACCTGGAAACGCAACAGCGTTCGGTCCGTTATTCTCCTTTCACGGCCAGATCCCGATTGTATCCATGCATTTTCCGAATTATATATATACGTCCTTACGTTATCGCATTATTTTCGCGTGAAATAAATTACTTTCGAGAATTAAATTTTAATATTATTCAATTCGAAATATATCACAGTTTTTTTTATTTTTAACGGCGGTTCTGTTTTTTTTTTTTTTTTGCAAAACTTTGTGACAAGATCGAGGTGAAAAGCGACGTCTAAGATACTCGATCGCGATTCACGGATTGGAAAGTCGAGGAACTCGAGATCGCCGAGACTTTGTATATCCTGGCAAGTGGAAAATTAAAATCGTCGCTATTTGCGTAGCGATCGAGGCACCTTGAATCTGCCGTGGCGAGCAAGTCACGCGGATTTTTTTCCTTGCCAAAAAGCTAAGCTACGTGCCACGACAGCGACTGTCATCGTCGATATTAGACCCGAAGTAAAGTCACTTCGCGAGTTTTCGATACGATCCATCCGGATCCATGCCGCGCACCGTGCACGAACGCCACCGACCAGATTTTCCACGTGTCACTGGGTCACTGCACTTGCTGTCCTGCGCGGGAATGTGAATACAGATCGCTCTCTAAATATCAGAGTACCGCGAACCATGTATTCGCCCGCGGTCTCTAAAGTTCAGTCAGGAACGTAGTATGCTCGAAAATACTTTCGACGACTCGATAGCGAGCGTGGATAAAAAAAAAAAAAAAAAAAGAAAAATGGATAATTTTTAACGAACAAACGATTTCCACACTGTCAGACTCACCTAAATTATACGAATCGAGCGTGTTTCGAGCACGCAGACACGGTAGACGAACGCAATGCTCGCGAAACCGATGAACGTCAACGGTGGGTTACCGTTCCACTCGAAACGAGGCGGGCAGCTAGCATTTTCGTGAGAAGCCTCGAGGCACCGTCGTCGTCGTGGTGCATCGTTGCGAAAAATCATTCCCGTTGAAGGTGGTTTCTCTCCCCTTCTCTCTCTCTCTTTCTCCTCCATCCCTGTCCGCCTCCTATCGCTTCTCCGTCGCGCAATACGAAACGAGTTTCCAACACGATTCAATGCCTCGGTCTTGCAAATGTGAAAGTACATTACTGCGGGCTCTGAAAGTCGTTTTGCTCGAAGGTTTACCTCTCGAGCGGCCCTGGACCGTTCACCGAGAAAAAAAAAAAAAAAAAAAAAGAAAAAAAAAATTGCGAGTGAGGACGAGGCGTGCACAAGGCGAAAAATCACCGGGAGACGTACATACCGAAAAACCTTTAACTTAACGGTCAACCAGTTGAGGAAATTGTTTGTGCTTACGGTTCAAAAAATAAAAGCGATGCTAACAGAATAGGGTTCAATGCAATATATCGATTCGTTTCCGCGTTAGGATTCTATCGATACGTTATCCATCATAAATCTTTTTTCGATCCCAGGTAAAAATTCTATTGTCTCGCAAAGAATTTATTGGAATTGTAAAATTCAAAGAAACGTTAAGATACATTAAAATAAAGACTTGGGACATTAGACCTTTCGGACTTTGAACCCTTCGATACATTTCTTTGTTGCTCTAGCCTTCTTAGCTTTAGTATAGTAAAGATGACATTCGAATACATGGTATCTTTTACGATTTAGACGTGCTTCTTCAGTCTATGATGAATCGACGGTGATTATCGATTTGCCTCGATTCGAAAAATATTCCATTTTTCCTTAAAATAGAAAAACATCGATTACGTTTTCCCTTCGTGGTCGTATGTTTTGATTATGAAACGATGAAAAATACTTGAAATATCGAGAAATTACGAGCTCTGTGTTTTTAAAGGAAAGTCAATAGCAACTGGTATAGACGTAATCAAAAACTGATAT